ACTTAGCTTATAGAGGGTGGTCGATAAAGATTGAATGTTCCTGTTATGGTATTTAGCTCATACAGGGTGGTCGATAAAGATTGAATGTTCCTGTTATGGTATTTAGCTCATACAGGGTGGTCAATAAAGATTGAATGTTCCTGTTGTGGTATTTAGCTCATACAGGGTGGTCGATAAAGATTGAATGTTCCTGTTATGGTATTTAGCTCATACAGGGTGGTCAATAAAGATTGAATGTTCCTGTTGTGGTACTTAGCACATACAGGGTGGTCGATAAAGAATGAATGTTCCTGTTGTGGTACTTAGCACATACAGGGTGGTCGATAAAGAATGAATGTTCCTGTTGTGGTACTTAGCTTATACAGGGTGGTCGATAAAGATTGAATGTTCCTGTTATGGTATTTAGCTCATACAGGGTGTTGATAAAGAACGAATATTCCTGTTACACATAGTCGGTTTTTTTTTTTGTTTTTTTGCAACAGACTAAAAATAACTTTTTCTGTGCGAATATATCAGTTTACTACTAACTTTTTTTTTTACGAAAGTAACATGTCACTGCATACAGAATAACGGTCCACTATTGGCTCAGTATGCAGGCTTACGATGCTAAAATTCGCGTTTCGATACCCCTGATGGGCAGAGCACCGATAGTCTGTTGTGCATTTTGGGGCTTAACAACAACAGCCGGGTTACAAAACACCTGAGGTTTCGCAGTATAAACCTTTTGTTCAAGGGATTTATGTTTGCCAGAATGGATATTATTGGGTCTCGATTTTATAATCAATTCTGGACAGACACATACGGCATTGTCGTATCTAGCGCTCTGTAAAACCAGGAGTCACGTACACAGGCCAATAGTTTAGAAGACCACAAATCTACGTTTAACATTTTCATATCAATTGCTTTGAAGTAACTGACCAAAAACATACAGTTAGCAAACTCCATATCTCTACACTTAATGTTGTTGTTTGTAGCGCTGTGTATCACCAAACACAAACCAACAACCTAGCAAACTCCATATCTCTACACTTAATGTTGTTGTTTGTAGCGCTTTGTACCACCAAACACAAACCAATAACCTAGCAAACTCCATATCTCTACACTTAATGTTGTTGTTTGTAGCGCTTTGTACCACCAAACACAAACCAAACATTAGTTCTAGAAACATCGTCTGAATTCAGTTTTATAGTACAATCTCCTAAAACACATATTTTACGTACAAGACGGTTGAGCAGGACACCTATATTATTTTGTGTTTATTGGATAAGTGACAAATTTTAAGAAGTTACGATCGTGCGTGTAAGAAAGATGTATAATGTTTTCTATAAAAATAGTATTTTTTAAAAGATAAACTGACTGTGATGCTGCTGTCTTTTAGTTTCGCTTTCCCAAAAACACTAGGCGTATATCAGTGTCGAATACAGGTGTAGCACAACAGCGTTACTAGGCGTATATCAGTGTCGAATACAGGTGTAGCACAACAGTGTTACTAGACATATATCAGTGTCGAATACAGGTGTAGCACAACAGTGTTAGGTGTAAAACTTCAGTGTTTGCTTTCGTCCCACATGTACAAAGCACTAGTCACGACAACGTTAGGTTTGTAGGTTGGGAGTTAGCTAGGCTGTTGGTTTGTGTTTCTATTGGTTAGTCCCACATGTACAAAGCACTAGTCACGACAACGTTAGGTTTGTAGGTTGGGAGTTAGCTAGGCTGTTGGTTTGTGTTTCTATTGGTTAGTCCCACATGTACAAAGCACTAGTCACGACAACGTTAGGTTTGTAGGTTGGGAGTTAGCTATGCTGTTGGTTTGTGTTTCTATTGGTTAGTCCCACTTGTACAAAGCACTAGTCACGACAACGTTAGATTTGTAGGTTGGGAGTTTGCTAGGATGTTGACTTGTGTTTCTGTTTGTTAGACCCACTTCTTCAAATCATTAGACACGACAACTTTAGGTCTGTGGGTTTGGAGTTTGCTAGGTTGGGAACACGAATAAGCATTATTCAAGTGAAAGCGGGTAACAATTAAATGTATATCATGTTGATTCTCAAAACAATTTACTTTAAAATCGCATTATTTATGAAACATACTTACTATTATCATACTTTGAACATTTATTTTTATTCCCTTCGCTACACGTTTGCACTGTTATATCAGATTTTTATATACGATTTGCACTGTTATATCAGAATTTTTATACGATTTGCACTGTTATATCAGATTTTTATACGATTTGCACTGTTATATCAGATTTTTTATACGATTTGCACTGTTATATCAGAATTTTTATACGATTTGCACTGTTATATCAGATTTTTTACACGTTTGCACTGTTATATAAGATTTTTTTATACGATTTGCACTGTTATATCAGATTTTTTTACACGTTTGCACTGTTATATAAGATTTTTTATACGATTTGCACTGTTATATAATATATTTTTTTATACGATTTGCACTGTTATATCAGATTTTTTTATACCATATCAGGAATTATGGTACATGTTTTACTACTAGTTCGTACCTTCGTACTCTGCACACGAAAAACTTGATTCGCTAAAACATGTAGATAGAGGGAAATAACGGGTTTTGGTAAAGTGATCTGGCTTTGAAAGACTTTCCCCAAACAGGCGCGACGTCAGAGAGCTACTGGAGAAAGCAATGTCTTCGTCACAAGATTTTGGCGACGCCGTTATGGACGGTCCCAGTACTCTGCTTTCACAGCCTCGGGCGTAGTTATTCTGTTCTGCAGGTGAGACCGTACTGCCGCAGGCTTGACGCGCCAAACTGAGGTAGTGGAACAACAGAGCGCTGCACGGGCCATATGGCGAGTAGGAGGACGACAAACTTACTGGAGTAGCCGTTGAAAGTCCTGTCGTCGTTACTGGACCTAAAGTAAAGCAAACCAGTTTTTTTATATGTAAATGAACACGCCATAAAATACTCAATGATTTACAGACGAAGAAACAATCAACTAATGTCTTATACCCGACAATATAAATATAATTAACCTTGAGAGATGGGAACAGCTAAGACGGTCTAAAAACATTATGGAAAATTGGTACGTATGTGCTGTTCGTACGGAAATCTTAACAACGAAGTTTTGTAACATAAAAACCAGCCATTCACACTAACTGTTTTCATATAGCATTGTGAAGATGGTGCGAAACTCTTCTTTAAAACATCTTCTCCCAACTCACAGGAGAAGAAGATACAGCGTTGCTCCTATCTCCCGCAAACCAGTTAAACAGTTTACATCAACAGAAATGAGGGGAAGTTTTCTCAGTTAAACAGTTTGCATCAACAGAAATGAGGGGAAGTTTTCTCGGTTAAACAGTTTGCATCG